CTATTGTTCAGGTTGAATTGGATTTTCTTGTCCTTTTCCCGAAGGTTGCTGATAACCTTTGTATGTTGTGGACCCCAGGTTATGCTGAAAGTGTGCTGAAGTATGCTAGTCTACAATCAAAGTGGGAATCTTACTTGAATATTAGTGTATCATCATTGTGTAAGTACAGTTTTGAAATAATAATTGGAAAGTTATCATTGTACAAGGATAGAAAATTATCGATATTAAATTATTTGATTTATTGTGTTATTGACACACAATTGATAGCCCAACAATGGGAGTCTTTCTGGTTTGAATTTATTAGGCAGTCCCCTACTAACTAAAAATGTTAAATATAGCACCAACTGCTTTATGCTCCATCTGAAAGACCTATAACTTCAGAAAAGCATCCTATTGCAATCTGTAATAATGCAAATTATGTCAGTGTTATTCCTGCTCTCTACCAATAGTATTCTGTGGTAACATACTTACTGTTACTTTTTCTATAAAAAAAAACACTAGATCACCAGTTTAATAAATAGACCTGTAGCCAAGCTTGTGGAATCAGTTGTATTCAGATTATGTGGTAATTGGGAGTAATCAACAATGCTGATTACAACATGCAACACGTTCACACACAATTTTCCTTCAACTGATCTCAAAGTGATGCTAATCTGACTTAAGGTATAACCACATTAGGAGCATTTTTAAACCACATTAGGAGCATTTTTAAATGTTTTTAAACTGTTGTTTTTTTTTTCATAAAATTAAATGTAGCTTCAGATAGTAAGAAGATAAGTGCTTCCCTTGGTGTTCTCCCTTGCATATTGCCAGCCGGCAGAAAGGGGAAAAAGAGAGCAAGCATTGACGAGTCTTTAGCCTCCTTCATTGACATTAAACCAGTAAGTTTGAGTTATAATTTGTATGTGAATATTCAGTTAACCAAAGAAATTAAACAGATATGTGTCTGTGTGTATGTATTACTGTATATATGTAGGTAGTGTGAATAAGCAGTCCTATTAGCTCCCGGGCTAATAGTGATGTCCCTTTAGCCTAGCGGTGATAGGTTTTGGCTTGCAATCCATGGATTCCAGGTTCGAGAACTGACTGGGCTTATTACATATATACCAGATATTTAAAGTTTCAAGATCATTCACTATCATCATCTTTATGGCAATCCATACACAAAATCCCCATTGTCCATTGTCTCAGAAATGTAAAAGCTATTCTAGTCCCACAAAAATGCGTAAACATACTCATCTCCAAGTTTCAATGATTGCCTCTGCTCCTGTACAAAACACAAGGGAGCCCTGCTCCTGTAAATGATTTTGTATGTGATATTACATTTATTAATATGTTTCTTGTTATTTCTAGATTGGGACAAATATGCCAAAGTACCTGGAGGAAGTGAAAAACAGCCAGCCATATGTTCTAGTCATAGGGTCCCTCCTTGATCCTTCACAATTTTTTGTTATAGTAGAAAGAAAAGCTTTGGAGCAAAT